GGCGAAGGGCGGATCAGAGTTCGAGGTGGCAAATCTACCACTACCTCCCCTTCACCTCTACTACATCCTCCTGGGCCAGTTCCAAGGGTATGCAGAAATATTCCAGCCTCACCACACTCACAAAACCATCAGGGACGATCGAGTTATTTCAGTGGGAAGGATTGATCGGATTTACGTTCCTACTCCCTCTCTGGTTCTCCTGGACTACAAGCCCATCTCTGGAGAGTCGTCTCTAACCTTTTTCAGGACTCGCTTCCCAGCGACCACGTCGCCGTGTTCTTGGCTCTCTCTGCTCCTGCTCCCTCATCCAGTCGACCGGTTACCCCGAAATGGGTGATGCGCTCGCCTATCTTTAGGAACGAGGCCACTGGCATCCTTGAGGACATCGATTTGGCACTGGATCCCGTTCAGAGAGTTCTGGATTGCAAGGGAGTTATATATGAAGCCGCCCGTAGAGTCAAAGCTCACCATGAATTCCGAGGACCTCAGAGCGTCGAGGAAACAATCACCTGGATGCTTGCACTTACCAGAGCCTCTCGCTACAACGACTGTGCCACTGCGAGAAGAGCAACCGTGGCTTACCCGCATCTGGCCTCTTTTTTTTCGACTGCACGGCGATGCAGTGGCGCGACCAACTGAAGTTCCAGGAGGAGTTTGTCATCCCTCATGCTCGTATATTTGCAGAGAGTGGAGCAATTGCTTGTATCTGATTCATCGGTGAAGCCCGAAAGGAAGGACCGCCGCATTTCTTGCTTACGCGAGCTTGCTGCCGCCTGGGCCCCGTTCGACAGGACTTCCTGCGCAGCATCTCTGACCCCCATGAGAACCCCTGCGGTGCTCCTGAGGACCCCGCCAAGGCGCTAGCCGACTATTGGGGGGGACATCGCCGAGCGTAGGTATGTCGACCCCGAACGTGTCAAGCTCCTCGACCCGCGCATCCAAACGGTTAGCGCTGGCACGTCTCGGGGGGGTTCAGATGAACAATTCCAGGATGTACTCCGTCGGTCTCGTGAGTCAGCCCCTGGGCCCGACGGTATTAGTTACGACGCTTGGAAGGCTGGAGGCCTCATTTTCTCTGCCGCGCTGCATGGGCTATATCAGCGCGTGATCTCTGGTGGCGCGGCCCACGAGTCCTTCAACGAAGGATTGGCAGCATTCTTACCGAAAGGTTACAGCGGCTCCTCTCAGCGAGGGCAAACTCGGGGCCCTGCCCCCGCCCGCCCTCTCACCCTCAGCAACGCGGACAACAGGCTTATCGTTTCCGCCCTCATCCCCCCCCTCTCCCAGGCATCTTCTCACCTGTGCTGCGGTATCCAGAAGGGTTTTGTCCCAGGGCGCCAAGGGCTGGAGCGCGTTATTGACGTGGGCTCCGCCATGGCCATTTTCACTGCAATGGAATATGAGCGAGAGCGTGGCGCCTGCTGTTTTGAAATTAAAACTGCTTTCCCCAGTCTCCATTTCCAATGGATCCAGCATGTGCTAGAGAAGGCTGGAGTTCCTGACTGGTATAGCCGCGCTATTATGACTCTGTAAAAATTGTTACCACGAATGTCAATTTCAGAGGCGCGACTGGCTGCTCGTTCCAAGTTGAACGTGGTGTCAACCAAGGCAGTCCTATGTCGGGGACTCTGTTTGCGGTCTGTTTCGGCTCGGTCCTGAGGCGCCTCCATAGTATCTCGGGTTCCCAGTTTGACCCCGCCTTCTCCCTGCACGGCTTCGCCGACGACCTGGCTCTGATGGCCGTCAACATTTTCGATCCTTTACCCAAGGCTGCCCGCGGCTCGTTGAGCCAGGCACATAGCACGGGGCTCCTGATGCACCCCGCCAAGACTCAAATCATCATCCCCCGCCGGTTCGACGTAGACTCCGTCGAAGCTAAGTTCAAAGCCAGGGGTCTTCGGGTACGTACGTTCAAGATATCTGAATGTGGGAAATACCTCGGGATGATTCTTGGAGTGGGATCTCGGGGCCAGTCTTGTATTGGTCCGATTGACTCTCTGAGGAAGCGAAGTATTCATCTCAAGACGCTGAGTTTCTCTTTTTGTCAGATCACCGAAGCCTACACCATTTATTGTTTTTCTGTATGTGGCTATGTATCCCAAGTCTTTCCGCCGACAAATGAGTTACTACGTGCAGAAGCCAAATCTATTTCCCGTCTGACGTGTGGTCCGAACAATGCGATCACCCCGCACCTTATGTATAACCTGACTGACTTTGGCTTCTCGCAGCAGATTCGCCACCTCGCCCTCTTCTGCAAGGCATCGGCCTACCGAGCACGCTGCAAGTGCGCTGCGTTCGGCAGGAATCGGAGGACGGTGGAGGAGATGCTAGCGGGGGATAATTGGGTGGTAGCGTACAAGGAGCAGCCACTACTCAAGAATTCTATTCTCTCTTACCTCGAGAAGGTGTGGGTGGAGCTCACTGCGATCCCTGGCATGCCCTCTGATCCCCTTCTCCACGGCCTGCAAAGCAAAGCGCTGAACCTTTACATTCAGAACAAACCTGGCAGGTCTAGCAGCGGTGCTATTCTCACTCGCATGAAGCACTTTTTCCCTGCATGTACTGAAGAGATGGTAGACCGCCAGGTTACAGGTATGTGTATCATCGGTCGTCTTCTTCCCCCCTTCATCTTCGCCGCGGTATTCAAGACTATATGCAATTGTTGGAATACGACGTCCAGGTATAGATCTGGAACCCGATGCTGTCTCTTTGGTTGTTGTGCCTTCGGAGGCGACATTCTCCAGCATTATCTTCAATGCCCTGCTTATCAACCTGCCGTGAGTGCCCTTCTGCCTCATCTCCCCTCCTCTCGGGCCACTGGTGATGTTAGCGCCTGGATGTTTGGCATCCCCCTTCCTTGTCCAATACTGTTGTTTGCTCTATTGCCATTGCCATATACCTGACTTTAGCCACTTTTAACTTGCTCCATGTAAGTGGGTTGCCGGATTCGCCTCGTGCTCGTCGCTCTTTTTTGTTTCTCTCCTACCCTTGGGTAAAGGTAGGCGGTGCCCAGGAAGACGAACATCCCCACTGAGTGCTATCTCCTCCCTCCTGCCTCCTCCCCCTCCCCTGCCTCCGCCTTTTCCTCCTTTTCGTCCTTTTCCACGCTATCCTCCTTCCTTCTCCTAGCCCTCCTCCTGCTCTTCCCTTGGACCTGCCTCTTCGGAGGCAGGTCGCCGTCCTAGTCCTCCTCCTCCTCGTCCTCCTCGGTCTCTTCCTCCTCCTCCGACTCCCCCTCTCCATTTTCACACTCTTGGGGTACGACTTCCTATCCAGCCCTGTATTCCACTGCGTTCTCCCCCACATCCCTGATCAAGGCAACTCGTTTGGCATCGTTTCCGGATGGGCTGGTGGGGCTGCGCGAAGCGATTAGAATCAAGTATCGAGTGGCCTTCGGCCTACACCGCCACCTTGCACAGGTCTTAGAACTGAAGCCTCGCGGATGCCTGTGGGGATCCTTTGGCAGGCCTCTCGGAAGCCACTTGGAGGCGGGTTTTGAGGTGTCTCCTGGCGGGTCCGTGTGTGGCGCCCCCCTATTTAGGTGCACTCGCTTGAGGCGGGCACCGCCTTTCGAAGCGTTGGGCGCCGCCGCGCGGCGCCACGACCGCTCAGCGCGCGCGTCGCAAAAAAAAAAAATATCCTGAGGTCTGATTTGGACATCTTGGGGCCTCCTGGCACTTCTTGGGGACTCTTTGGGGGGGTCTGCTCGCGGTGTCGGGGCCAGACAGGCGCGGCTGGCCGCGCCGGCCGAGGCCGTGCGGAGGCCTGGGCCCGGGCCTGCTTCCACTCTTTGCTGGCCCAGGCCGGAAGGGCCGACGGCTGCTCGTCAGGATCATTTCCGGAGGCCCAGAGGTTGTCTACTGGACACAAAATCGGTTTGATCGAGATGGGAACGGAAAGAATGGGTACAATGCCCAATAACAGTTCCTGCTCATTTTGAATAGGGTTCGCTGTCCGCGCCGCCGCGGCCTGTGTCCATTTGAGAGAGAAGGCCGCCTGCCCAACAGCGGCTGCTGTTGGTTTGGGATATCTTTTCCGTACCCGTTTCGGGCCTCCAAACAAAAGTGACCTTTCGCCAGAGTGAATTGTTGGTGCGGGCCCATCTGGGGTCCCCCGATCGCCGAACGCGATGCGGTAGTAGCGTCTTGCGCGCTTGTGCTTGGTCCCCCTGCGGCCCCCGAGAAACCGCTTGCCAAAGGTCACTCCTGCCCAGGGTCACTCTTGCGTGTAGCCGAGGTTTGCACCAACACCAAAATCGGCTGTGTGCCTCCACCGAGGGAAGATCTTCCCAGCTTCGTCGATGGTGGTCATATTCGGGCATCCGAGGTGGCCGGAAGATGACCAACGACACCAGAATCTAGGAGCATCGTTCCCAAGTGGACGCGCCCCCCTGTTCACCACAACTTAGGCGCCTATCGATCGTTGATTGTCGTTGGACTCGGCTGTGGGTGTGAGGTGGCCCAGCACCGGTTCTGGCCAGCAGGAGCGGGGGGGCAGGTTGGGGGTGGTGGGCGCGGTTTTTTGGGCCGTTTTCGGGCCTTGGGGCCGTCAAAAGCTGATCCAGGGTGAAGCACTGCACCAATGGGAACCCCGGTTTGGCACCACCAGAAAAGGTCTAACATTTTTTGTCTTAAAATGAATGTTAGTGGTGCGTCAGTCACACAATTTTGTTAACAGGCAGTTTGTGCTTGTGTGCTTGTTTCGTAGACCCACCGCCACTTTTGCGGCCTCCTCCAAATCTTAGTTTGCGCCAGGCCAGCACGCGTCATTTGATCAAGCCTGTATGGGGCCCTCTTAAGGGCGGGGTAAAGGCTTAAGGGGGGGATGCGCCGACTTCCGACCGCACATTCATCGCCGACAGGGGCCCGATAGTTCACCCCGGCCACGACCGTGCAGTTTCTCTATCGTGGGCGTGTCGCCGATTTAACGGCGATATATCGCCGATTCGAGGTCGATGCTAGTTCCCTGAGCACCCTTGTTGTTTCCCCTCGCCCTCCGGTAGCCGTTTTGGCCCAGACAGTTCGCACTACAGCACAATCGCTGCTATCGCCCTCCTCGGCCGTGGAGCGATGAGGTTCGCCGCCGCCCTCGTGGCCCTGGCGTGCAAGCTCGCCGCCTCCAAGGAGCTCACCAAGGAGACCTGGGACGACGCCGTGTCGGGGAAGACCGTCTTTGTCAAGTTCTTGGCGCCGTGGTGAGGACACTGCAAGCGCATGAAGCCCGATTGGGACAAGCTGATGGCCGAGTACGAGGGCTCCACGACGGTCCTCGTCGCAGACGTGGATTGCACCACGGGCGGCAAAGAACTCTGCAATTCGGTCGGCGTTCGGGGCTACCCCACCATCAAGACAGGTTCCCCCGACGACCTGCAGGACTACAAGGGCGGCCGCGACTTCAACAGCCTCAAGAAGCACGCCGAGAGCCTGGGACCGACATGCGGCCCCGCGAACATCGACCTGTGCGACGCCGAGAAGAAGAAGCAGATCGAAGAGTTCACCGCCCTCGGCGCCGAGAAGCGCGAGGCTATGATCAAGGAGAAGGAGGAGGAGAGCGAGAAGCTCGAGGCGGACTTCAAGGCCTTCGTCGAGGGCCTCAACAAGGCTCGAGGGGGGGAAACTGCACAAGGATAACTTTCGGAGCACCCTGCGAATTTCTTGGATCGGCGCTGGGGCCCAAGTCCCTGGCGCGCGCACCGCGCCAGCGGCGGCACCGGAGGCGCTGCCTGGGGATCCAGTGCCGATTTAAGAAGGCCGCGCGGAGGTCAGACGATTTATATTTATTCCCCAAGCAGTGCTTGCCTGCCTTTAGGGGTTCTTGTTTCTCTTACTTCTGCTCGAAGGAACTGGGCCTGTCTTGCGGTCTGGCGGCTCTGTGCTCGCCGTTGCCGCCCCGTCGCCGCCCCGTCGCCGCCTCGTCGCCGCCCGTCGCCTGGGCCTGTCTGGCGGTCTGGCGGCTCCGTGCTTGCCGTCGCCGCCCCGTCACCGCCTTGTTGCCGTCCGTCGTGTGGGCCTGGGGGGCGGTGTGGCGGCTCCGTGCTCGCCGTCGCCGCCCCGTCGCCGCCCCGTCGCCGCATGGATTGCACCACGTAGATTGCGCAACTCAGAGTGCACCACATGTATTGCACCGCACATATTGCACCACGTCGACGGCACCACATAGATTCTACCACATAGATTGCACATTCTTGATGGTTTCACACATATCGCACAGCGTCGCTTGCACCACATGTGTTCACAACATGGATTTCACCACATAGATTGGCTTACACATATTGCAATACATATGCAATTGCATATACATTGCACAACATATGGCGCCACATGCATTGCACCACGCGGATTGCATCGCAGATCTTGCACTCTTTTCTCTTTCTACATATATATATATAAATATATATGTATGTATATTCACATACATGTATCTGTACACATTTCGCACGACAGATACTGACCCGCTAGGTTGTACATCATATACTGCTACAGACACTGTTCGGGGTCCACGCTGGCTGACATTTAGTTTTCCGTTTCTCGAAAGGCGTACAAGGAGGAGAGCGCGAAGAAGGACGAGGCCGCGGAGGCCATCAAGAACAGCGGGCTGGGCCTGCTCAAGTCTGTGCACAAGTTTGCGGCGACGGCGAGCACGAGCAAGTCGGAGCTGTAGTCTCGCTTGTCGCTCGCGGGTGGTCCCGACTAGGAATCGGGGTCCTCCGCGCGGGTGCACGGCGGACGAATTTTGTTGTGATGTTTTCCATCGAGTAGTCTACGCCATGAACAAACCAGCTCGACCTTGGACAGAGTCCCGCTAGGCCTCGAGGACCCCCGGCAGCGGCGCAGTGAGGATGCGAGCAGTGGCATAGGACGCCTGCGTACAGCCACCCCCCCAGTCTCTGCTCTCGCCCCTCTCGCGCTCCGGAAAGGGCCTTGCATTCGATTGTGACAGTACAGCCAGCCCCCACCCCCAGCCAGGACCCCCACTCCTGCCCTGGTGATCCAGGGGGTCCTGACCGGGGTGGGGGTGACTTTTTGGGGTTCTTGGGGGTTGATAAACCACCCTCCCTCCAGCCAGGACCCAATGGATCACCAGGTCGGGAGTGGGGGTTTTGCCTGGGGGTGGGGGTGGGTTGTGCTGCCCTCAAGATATGGCGTGCTTTCTCTTCCCCGGTGGAGGGCGGCGGAAGGGCGGCGGAAGCCAGCGGAAGAACAAAACGACGCCGCCTCAGCCGTGGGAAGCCCGCGGGACTCTGGCGGAAGCTGGCGGAAGGAAAGTATACGCCCCCACGGGATGGCGATTCTTTTGGGTGCAAGTTTTGCGGTACCCACACCGCTACCCTCCGTCGTTTTCTTCCTTTTGGGGCTCTTGGGAGGCCCTCCTCGCCACGGCTGGACTCGCCTCGACCTTCTGGTCAGAGCGCACCCCAGAGGAGGTACAGCGAGCAGCGGTATCGGCACCTCTCGGTTTGCCCACATTTTTCTGAGGTCCGCGCGGATTTTGTTGGGTCGGCGCTGGACTCCTCTCCCCGGCGCGCGGAGCTCGCCATGGGGGTCCAGCGCCGATGCAAGAGTTCTGTGCGCAACTCTGAGCGTGTATGTTCTCCCATCAGAGCTTGCCGCTGTAGGGGTCCTAGCGGATTCATTCCCCAATCAGAGCTTGCCTCTGTAGGGGTCCTAGCGGATTCATATGGCTAGGTCAGGTATGGCGCCGATTTTGGCGGCATGCCCGGGTGCCCCGGTGCCCGGGTGGCCAGGGTGCTTGGGTGCCCGGGTGCCCAGTAGCCCTATTGGATTCGTATGGTTAGGTGAGGTGCGGCGCCGATTTCGGCGGCACGCCTTGGTGCCTAGGTGCCCAGGTGCCCGGGTGCCACGTTGCCCGGGTGCCCGGGTGCCCAGATGGCTTGGTGCCCAGGTGCCCTGGTGCCTGGTAGCCCTATAGCCTTATAGCCTTCTATCCCTATAGCCCTAGAGCCCCAAAGCCCCAAAGCCCTACAGCCCCAAAGCCCTATAGCCGTATAGCCCTAAAGCCCTTTAGCCTGATAGCCTGACAGCCTTATAGCCCTATAGCCCTATAGCCTATAGCCCTATAGACCAGTAGCCCTATAGACCTGTAGCCCCATAGCCCTGTAACCCCATAGCCCTATAGCTCCATAGCCTCATAGCCCTATAGCCGTATAACCCTATAGCCCTATAGCCCAATAGCCTTATAGCTATAACCATATAGCACCATAGCCCTTTAGCCCCATAGCCCTATAGTCCCATAGCCTTATAGCCCTATAGCACCATAGCTCTATAGCCCTAAAAGGATTCTGTATGTTTTTTCTCCGGTATCAGATGTGTTGTGTTTCGGCCCTTTACCCCTCAGGGGCAGCGAGGGGGGGATAGGCTCAGGGGGCAAAGCATCGACCCCCAATCGCCCAGTGATCGCCGATAGGGGTCTGATAGCCCCACCCCGCCCAGGAAAGTTGGGATCTGGCATCCCGGGCCTATTGCCGATCTATCAGCGATGTATCGCCGGTTTCGGGTCGATGGTTCCGCCCCTGAGCCAGTTCCCCTGATGGTTTTCGGGTCATGACTCGGGCCTCCAGTGGCCGTTCGGGACGATCCAGGCATCCCCGCACGCCCCTCGGCGAGGCGCAGCCGCTGGAAGTCATCCCGAGGCTGGAAAGGCGCCGAGAACCAACGAAGACGCCCGACAACCTCAACCCTCGAATCTCAAGCCTGCCCCGCCTTGAGCCAGCCCCCCTCCTCTCGTTGGCCCTCAATCCCATCTTCTTTTTCCCCTCCTCTCCGCCTGCCTCCTCCTGTGCGGTGCAGTCCGTGCGCGTATGCCGCAGCTGAGTTTGCCGTTTCCGCGGGATCGCCTGGCCTCTCGCCCCGTGTCGGGCGGAGCACGCGCTCACGCTGTGTCAGGGTCTCATCTTCATCCTTCCCTTGAAGAAAAATGCAGTCGGACCGAGGTAATTCTGAGATCGAGGTCGTTTCGGGGAGGGTACCCTAATGTTCTTCGTTTTTGTTGGATGTTCTTGTGCATCCTGGGTAGGGTACCCTTGGATGTTCAGTGTGTTTTGGCCGGCGGCGGGTCTCATGTTGTCGGAGGATGTTATTCTGTCGTAGCTCCGATTGTGTTGAACTGCGCAGTCATACACTTCTGAAGGTCCGCGCGGATTTCTCGGATCCGCGCTGGAACCTCCCAGCGCCTCCCGCGCCGATCCTGGCGCGCTCGGTACACCCCGGAGGAGGGTCCAGCGCAGGTTCAAGCAATCTGTGCGGGACTCCGTAAGTTTATGCGCATGCAGTTTTCCCTTCTTCGGACCCGCTAGCGCTGATCCCCGTTCCCAGACCTCCGACGTTGCGATTGCGCCACAGTGTGGACCCTCAGAGGCCTAGACCCCTTCCTGGGGGCCGATTTTTCATCCCGAGTAGTTTTTGACTGTCCTGGGGCCTGGCGAGGGCCCCCGCAGGCTGAAAATTACCAAAAGCCTCACGTCGCGTTTTTGTTTCCTCTCGTTCTTTCTTCTCCTCCTTTCCCCTCGGCGTTTACGCAAAGCTGCCCCTTCGCCAGGTGTGCCGTTGTGGAGCCAGGCTGATGGCGGGGGGCGGTCTGGGGACCCCCTTCTCCACGACCGCCGCGGGCTTCTAGAGGGGAGGGTGGGGGGGCTAGCGTCTAGAGGGGGCGATCGACTGATTATGGGGGTTCAGGTTTCAGGTTTTCTGAATTTTGTTCGTCGGTTCTTTGCGGTTTTCCAGCCTCCCGATGCCTCCCGGCACTGCGCCTCGCCGGGGGAAGCCGGCACTCGGGGGTGACCTTAGGTGGAGGAGCGCGGCTCGGGGGGGATGCCCCCCCCGATGGGGCAGCGCAGCGAAGGTCGCCATTAGCAGCGGTCACCCCCACGTGGAGCCGATCCTCGTCGTCGTGGTCATCCTCTTCCTCCTCCTCAAGTTTTCCTCCCCCTTCTCCTCAATGTCTCCTCCTGTAATTCATGTCTTCTTCCTCTTCCTCTCCTCCTCCTCCTCCGCCTCCGTCAATACGGCAAATATCTTCGTAGCCAATGCAAGGTAGAGACGAGGCAGCAAGAAGCAGGAGCGGGAATCTGTGATACCGTGCAGAAGATCTCTCAGTATCCTTCTTCCGTCTCCTTCGATCTCAGCTTCAAAATCTCAGAGGCGGCCGTCCTGCCAGATCGCTGCCATCCTCTCCATGAGCCGCCGCCCGCGGTGCCGATTGCTTCCAGGAGGCCCATCATAGCCAATGGCCCCTGGACCCTGGAGGAGGAGGAGGAGGAGGAGGAGGGAATCCGGGGAGGAGGAGGAGGAGAAGGATGATGATGATGAAAAGGAGGAGGTAGTCATCACGAGGATGACGATGATTCTGATGGTGATGGTGATTATGATAATGATGCTGCTGTTGATTATGATGCTGATACTGCTGCTGCTGCTGGTGCTGCCGGTGATGGTGATGGTGATGCTGATGCTGATGTTGATGATGATGATGATGATGATGATGATGATGATGATGATGATGATGATGACGATGATGATGATGATGATGATGCTGATGATGATGATGATGATGATGATGATGATGATGATGGTGATGCTGCTGCTGCTGATGATGCTGATGATGCTGATGATGGTGATGGTGATGGTGATGGTGATGATGATGCTGCTGATGCTGCTGATGATGATTCTGAAGAAGAAGAAGAAAAAGAAGGAGGAAGTGATGATGCACCGGATATTGGACCAGTTTGCCGGGGTATGGATTAGAAGCCTGCATGGCCCCCCGCCCCCGCCGCAGGACACGGGCAGACTGGGCGTGGCAGGCTTCGCCGCTGCGGCAGGACGCCGCACCTTCGGAGGGCGGGGCTGGCGGGAGTCGGCCGCAGATGGGGTCCGAGCAGACGTGTCGGCGCAGATAGTGTTGGACAGTGTCCGACCAGTCTCCAGGCCTCCCACAGGGCCATTTATGAATCACGATAGGCGGTGTTTGGCAATTTTTGGCCTACGGGGGCAGTCGCTGGGGATCCAGGACCGTCAAACAATTATTCAGGATGGCACATTTTCCTGGGAATAGGTCGAGGGTTCTAGGGGTCCGTCATGAAGCAATCATGACGTCGGGGGTCAGGGTCCTGGGCCTCCCAGATGGGGTCCGACTAGATGGGGCCGGAGGGTCGGCTATGCATCGGTAATGCCGCTCGATGCGGAGCCACATGTTCTCCACGTCGATGTCGCCGATGCATCGCCGATGCATCGGTGATTGATTCATCGAAGATGCCGTGCTATCCTCCAAACCCATCTACTCCGACCCCATATGGGAGATCTTCACTGTCTCTGCCTACTGTCGGTCCCGCCCGTGCCCGCCCCCCCTGGATAGCCGGACCATGTCATTTGCGCAGGTCCGAAGGGGGCGCGCCGTGCAGGTTGGGCGCGGGCACTCGTGGGGCCGGCGGAGGTTGGCCGCAGATGGGGCTCGAGCAGCTGCATCGGCGCAGATAGGCTCAGCTCGTAGGTAGAGCCAGCCCTCCTCAGAGGATGAAACGGTGCTGATCTGAGGGCTCCCGGCAGGCCCTCGTCGCCACGGCCGCATTCGCCCCGACGTTCTGCTGAGAACGCACCCCGGGAGAGGTCCAGGGAGTGGCGGTGTTTGTATCTGTTTGTCTCCCCAGCATGGGGTCCCAGCAGGTGGGGTCGGACAGGTATGGAGAAACGTTTTGGGCAGGTGGATCATATTCCTGCGCGGATCTCTAAACTTTCCAAAGTTACTCTTTGGCTATCACTTTTTGCTTTCTCGCAGCCGCGATCCGAGGCGGGCGATCGCGCCTGTCGGATTCGGTAGAGCATCGATGTTGCTAGCCAAAGGCGGTATTGAATCAAGACCGCGGCCTCGCGCATGGAAGCCTCGCGCATGGAAGATTTGAGGA